CAAGGATCATTGTGGGGGCAAGGATGGATTCGAGAAATATGGCGCGGTTGATAATATTAAAGTTGCGACGCGTACAGGAGTGAGGTGTTTGTGTAGAAGAAAACGGAACTATGGAGTGGGGTCAACAATATACGCGCAATGATAGAAAAATTAATTATTTGAATGGCTGATGAATGTAGACTGAAAAATGCAATGAATTAAAATTACTGAAGACATGGACGGGTGTAGAATAAAGCATCGAATCGGCAGATGGAGTATGAATGCATAAGTGGGAGGACGGGTGGATGAATTGATGGATGCATGGATGGAATGGTGGAAAATGGGATTTAAATTCAGCGCATTGTGTATGATGTAAATAAAGTGCCAATGTATTTGTTAGTTTGAAGTAGGGGGAGCAATGATCTGTTAGTAATGCGAATACGTGGGATGAGCTTGCGAGGGAGATCATCTGATTTGGCAGGGACGACATCTCTTATGTGACTAAGGATTCGTCCCATTTCCACCATACCTACACTTCGCTTGGTGGAGGAGAGGACAAATGTTATGTCTCGCACCACAACAACTAAACGAATCACGTGGAAGTCAGTAGACAGCAATACGACAGGCACATATCGTGACAACTCGACAACACGAAGAAAGCATTTTGTGGGAAGAAGACCATCTCACTAACAAATTATTTGGTCCATCACACGCACCTCCTCATGTGTTGTGGTCCACACTGCGACAAAGCGAGCATAGCATCACTGGTGGTCAAGCGAATGCCGAAAATGTCTTCCTCACAGAATGTTCCTGTTTCGACCCGCCTAGATTGGAAGTTGTTAAACCACCTCATTGACTTATTGCGAGGCTGTCTGAGGACAAATTACAATGTCTCATTTCAATTGCTGTAAGGAAAGATCCTCTGCTTCGACACTGACTGAAGCGAAGCCAGTTGGTTTAACGTCTGACGCGTTTTTGGCTTGTTCTGTTGTTTTTCCATGAGGCATTGTATAGAGACTAAATCACTTTATTTGAATTAGTATATCCAGTGTTGAGCGGATTTTTGAAGAGTGGTATTTGTGCTGATGGTGGATGAAATGAAGTGCAAGTTTTATATCAGCTTTGGTTTTTGCTGGAAATTTCTTGATTGCCTGTGTCTGATCCCTCATTAGCTGTTATATGCTGCCAGGATATAACACATTTTTGTCACTTTGTCACATATCACAGCTTCTAACTACCCCGGTTTTGGTAATTCTTATGTATTTATTGCATCTTTAGAACCATAACAAGGATCATTGTGGGGGCAAGGATGGATTCGAGAAATATGGCGCGGTTGATAATATTAAAGTTGCGACGCGTACAGGAGTGAGGTGTTTGTGTAGAAGAAAACGGAACTATGGAGTGGGGTCAACAATATACGCGCAATGATAGAAAAATTAATTATTTGAATGGCTGATGAATGTAGACTGAAAAATGCAATGAATTAAAATTACTGAAGACATGGACGGGTGTAGAATAAAGCATCGAATCGGCAGATGGAGTATGAATGCATAAGTGGGAGGACGGGTGGATGAATTGATGGATGCATGGATGGAATGGTGGAAAATGGGATTTAAATTCAGCGCATTGTGTATGATGTAAATAAAGTGCCAATGTATTTGTTAGTTTGAAGTAGGGGGAGCAATGATCTGTTAGTAATGCGAATACGTGGGATGAGCTTGCGAGGGAGATCATCTGATTTGGCAGGGACGACATCTCTTATGTGACTAAGGATTCGTCCCATTTCCACCATACCTACACTTCGCTTGGTGGAGGAGAGGACAAATGTTATGTCTCGCACCACAACAACTAAACGAATCACGTGGAAGTCAGTAGACAGCAATACGACAGGCACATATCGTGACAACTCGACAACACGAAGAAAGCATTTTGTGGGAAGAAGACCATCTCACTAACAAATTATTTGGTCCATCACACGCACCTCCTCATGTGTTGTGGTCCACACTGCGACAAAGCGAGCATAGCATCACTGGTGGTCAAGCGAATGCCGAAAATGTCTTCCTCACAGAATGTTCCTGTTTCGACCCGCCTAGATTGGAAGTTGTTAAACCACCTCATTGACTTATTGCGAGGCTGTCTGAGGACAAATTACAATGTCTCATTTCAATTGCTGTAAGGAAAGATCCTCTGCTTCGACACTGACTGAAGCGAAGCCAGTTGGTTTAACGTCTGACGCGTTTTTGGCTTGTTCTGTTGTTTTTCCATGAGGCATTGTATAGAGACTAAATCACTTTATTTGAATTAGTATATCCAGTGTTGAGCGGATTTTTGAAGAGTGGTATTTGTGCTGATGGTGGATGAAATGAAGTGCAAGTTTTATATCAGCTTTGGTTTTTGCTGGAAATTTCTTGATTGCCTGTGTCTGATCCCTCATTAGCTGTTATATGCTGCCAGGATATAACACATTTTTGTCACTTTGTCACATATCACAGCTTCTAACTACCCCGGTTTTGGTAATTCTTATGTATTTATTGCATCTTTAGAACCATAAGAATCCGTTTTTTTAATTGCATTTCCCTACTTGGAATCGTGTCTAAGAGATTCCGTTTACTACCATGCGATTTTCTACAAGGATTGCCTAATTGGCCAGACTCACTTTACTACCTCCCTGGGGCTGTGTTATGTGGTAAGATCTTGCAATTAACAGCACTGAGGGCAGAATTTCAATTTGACGAGATGGTGCTAGGCACATGAATTTGGTGCACTGTCAAATATGCTGATAGGGCCGATCAGTACTGACTCATGGGAACTCATCACTGTCCAGTGGCAAGTGCTTCGACTTATGCGAGAGAATCCAGTAACTTGGTCTTAATACTTTACCTGGGCTTCCTCTTCCTAAACACCAGTTTTAATATACAGCGTCACCTAAATAAGATCTAATCCCTATTTAGGATTGCTGTAACAAATTGGCTTATCCCAGTTACTCAGGATAGCTGTTTGTTAAACAAGGCACAGCTTGCTATGACAATCCAGTGTACCTTGACCTTTCATTCGTGCACTAAACTGGGGCATGGCTCTCGCGTTTAATATCACAGGCCAATGAGAAGGAGGAGAAGATTTGTCCAATCGCATGCTCTAGGTGATACGATTGGCTGAGGCGATGGTGCCAACGCTAGTCGTGTGATTCGACGCCATGCCATGGGCAGCGTTTGTGCGAGGATGCAAATGCATCTGTAGACGAAATGAATTGAGGCAATTCATGGTCCCAGTCGTGTTTGATTCTAATAGTCGAAAGAAAAACGTTGAGGGCTGTAAGACTTCCACTAAAAAGATGAGGCCACTGAGGCTTTGCCAATATTTTGCCGAGAAATATGGAATAATGCGTTTTACACTTGTTTGTAGGCAGAAATGTAAAAGTGACTTCAGTATTTCATGTCCTACTTATGCCATTTTAAGAGCATGGAAACGATGATCAGCGTAAACGCTTTATATTTTATCATATCTGCAGTGCCTGATTTGCATGGTCAAATTGTTGGGCACGACATCATCTTTGACGTCCTTTTTGAAGCTGCAGCCATTCCCACGAACAATCTAGATGATCTTTATGCGCAACTGACCCACATTTTTAATAACGAGAGAAAGAACTCCGTCAGCTCCCACTTGAGTATGCGAGCATCTTTTCATGGCAGGGTGCAAAACTGGAACGAACAAATATCGTCAAGCATACGATTGATACCAGTGAAGCTAGGCCCATCTGGCAACCACTCAGACGTATTTTGCCACCTCTGCTGGAAGAAGGAAACCATCTGGTTGAAGCGATGCTTCGAAACGAGGTTATAAATGCATCCAAGTCACCATGGGCCTCCCCTATTGCGCTGGTAAAGAAGAGTCTGCGGTTACACATCGATTATATGAAGTTGAACGCTGTAGCCAAGAAGGATGCCTTCCCACTCCCCCACATAAGTGATTCACTTGATTCCTTACATGGGTCGCAGTGGTTCTCCACCCTAAATTTGAAGTAGGAATATTTGCAAGTGGAGGTTGCAGAAGCAGTCCGGGAAACGACTGCTTTTATGTAGTAAACCGGCCTAATGAATTCCAAACGATGACCTTTGGACTCCGCAACGCAGCGCCAACATTCCAACGCCTTATGCAAGCAGCTCTGATTGGCTTATTCCCAAAGCATTGCATAATCTATCTTGACGACATTCTCGTTTTTGGTGGAGATATTCAAGAGCACAGTGCCAACTTGAAACTAGTGTTGGATCACCTACGGGATGCAAAGCTAACTTTAAACCCGAGAAAGTGCCGTTTCCTGCAACGCTCGATCACCTTCCTGGGACATTCAGTCTCATCGAATGGGACGGCAGTCACCAAAGACCGTGCGCAACAAGTGAGGACATGGCCTACACCAACCAACGAATCAGACAGAGCTCGGCAGTTTCCTAGGTCTGGCAAGTTATTACCGAGGTTTCGTTAAGGGTTTTACCAAGATCGCCAGCCCGCTACATAATTTAACCGAAAAGCAGGCGAAGAAGAATTTTAGGTGGGAGAAAGAGCACGACGAGGCATTTAAAGAACTTAAGTAAATGCTCTGCTCTGCACCGATTCTAGCATTGCCACACTTCGAATCCAGTGCTCCACTGTTTGTACTGGATACGGATGCGAGCAACAAGGCTGTGGGTGGTGTACTAACCAAAAAAGGAGGAAACAGGCTATCGCTTACGCAAGTACAAAGCTACGGTAAAATATGAGATGGAAACGTGCAACGCAACGAGAGC